AGAGGGGATTAATGACAACACATCTTTTACTTGAACAATTTTGTTAAAAATTTAAACATTCACTGTAGTTTTTAATCAAACCACATATGTTCCAGGCTGGCCTCATATTTATTATGTGGCCTAGGGTGGCCTGAAATCCATGATCCTTCTGCCTCAGCTCCTACGCCCAGCACTTAGCTATTCTTTTCATAGTTCTCCCTATTCTTTATCTTTCCTAATAGAATGTCAACTCACATTACATTCCTTTAAGTGTCCCTTGAACCTTTCAACTTTGTATTTCACATTTTCCTTCTGGCTCCCATCTTAACTACACATTCTAAAACCCTCTAGACTATTGGACAGAAGGATGAATTCTGTTGATGTCAAATGGTCCACTCTGAATCTTTTACTTTGTACTACTACTGAAACTGGAAAAAAATAAGTTATTTATACCGCAAATCCTCAAACACGTTTGCTGCTTTCTGTTATGTCTCTCAAATTCAGACATTTTTAACACAGTGTGAAATGTCTCATCTTCATTGTCACCATAATCAAGTGATATCTAGTCTACCACAGTTAGGGGTGTCTGAGCAGAACAAACAAATGTCTGTAGCTTACACTGTCTTAGATGGCAGAAATGTAGAAAAATGCATGAAGTGACAACTTGTGACGAAATGTAAAAAAGGGTACAACAGTGACATAAACAACTAAAATCCACTAATAGCATCATGGTGTTCCTATCAGGTTTCTATGGAAACAAATATTTAACATATTTGAGGTTTTCAATGATGATTACACTTTCAAAGGGGACTTGGTGATGTTTTAGTCCATATGCAATTCCTAAAAATTATTTCATTTAAAAAGAATATGTATAGTTGACAGCTGCCAAATGGATTCTCACCCTTTAGTAAAAATAAAGTCAGCTGCTCCCTCGCTGCTGCAGTATTTTTATTTGACGCTTGGAAATACTTGCCTTGGAATGAACTAGTGAACTGGTCACCAAAAAGCAAGAGTGTGAAAAGCAGTGGGGCAATGAAATTGGCTAAGAGCAAGACATTTTCAGTTCACCTGGTTTATTTTATAGCCTAACCCTATAAAAACAACAAACTATAAAACTATATTGTACTAAACTATTTACCAATGAATTCTACATGATTATATGAGTGCCACAATATATCTGGTGCTCAAGAAAAATTTAGGTTAAAGAACCTATAATGTCAAAGTAATAATAACTTATTTCATGGAATTAATATAAAAATTTTACTATTCAGATTTTTAACATCCTCTTAATGTAACATATCTTCCCATAACTATCTTATAGTCGCCATTCAATGTCTCTGTTAAAGCTCAGAAAATGATAGCTCAAAATATGAAACTTTAATACATTGAAAATTTAGAATTAAAAGAAATTGGAAAGACTTCCAAGCTGTCTTAAATCAAGGTTTCTCTAACTGTCCCTTCCTTCTCCTTCAACCCAAGTGCAGAGGGACTTTTTCACAAAATTCTTTTTCTATCTACAGACCTGATATGTCAAAAAGGCACAAAATTGCCCTCATCCTCTTCCTGAGGGTCCGTTAACCAAGAAAGATTAAATTCATAATATAGGAAGAAAAAAAAAGTACAGCTAGGCAAACTTTGTTACAAGCTATTTATATTCACCAATGCATTCAACAGTTGGAGAATTATTTACAAACTACTGTTTGTTTTTTGGGTCCACTGAAATTCTCTGAAAATCATTTACCAATTGCAAAATTGCCTACATTCCCCCATTTTCCTTTTCCTTATGAAAAAGGACATATAAATTCCCGAATTTCACTGGCTTGTTGAGTAATCAACTCCCTGTGAGGTCTCCACACATATTAGCAAATCTGTATCACTTTTTTTCCTGTTAGTCTACTTTCAGTTCATTTCAGAAAAACTTGACTGGGCAGAGAGGAAATTTCCCTGTCCCTGAAATCCTCATTTTCTCAAATTTGGTTCTTTTCTCTTAGTAGACATAAGGTAGCTAAGAGGATAGTTTATCATTTTACTCTCTACACCTGCTTCCTTCTTAATCTACGCCTAGCATTTCAAAGTCTGTATTTGCTTTCTCTTTCCCATAATCTACCTCTATCCTGGAAAATATTTCCTAATTCTTTTGCAGCTATAAGATCTTCTCACTCAAAGGTGAATAGTGAGCAGAATTTACTGAAAGTATATAAATAATTGTACTTCAGAGCAGTATAAAAATAACTTAAAATGAATATTTAAACAAACTAAGAATGTGGGACATTTTAAACAACAGATCCAATTTCAACAAAATCAATAATACATAGGAAACAAAAACAAAAAAGGAAGGAGGGAGGTCTTCTCTACATTAAAAAGGCTTGAGAGTAGAATACTCACGTGTTATGTGCAGACTTTGAATTATCATTCAACTAGCCAACTGTGCAAAGAAATTTTTGAGACAACTAGGGATATTTTAAGATGAATTAGATATCTTCAAATATTAAAATAAGATCAAGAAATTATTAACTAAAAGCTATTAACTTTGCCAGGTGCAAAAATCACATTAAATTATGTTTCTATAGTTTGTATTTTTAGAGACACATCAAAGTATGTAAAATGACAGAATTCCTGATATTTTCTTTCAAATATTTAGCAAAGGGGAGCTAGGGATTTAGTTCAATGGTTCAGTGCTTGCCTGGCAAGTCTGAGGTCCTGAGTTCAATGCCTGATACTCCCACCCCACCTCACCCCACAGAAAAAAATTTAGCAAGGAAAGAAAATAAGATTAAGCAAAGTGTAGATTACAATCTTGGTAAATCTTCAAGGGCATGGGGGAGGCATTATGCTACGTGCTCTCTTTTTCTGTGTTTACATTTTTTTCACTCATTATGAAAAAAATGTTCCTCAAGAGATGGGACTTTGGGTGGTGCTTTGGAAAGAGCTAATATGGCAACTGAGTTAGAAATATTATAGACAGGGCTAGGTCGTCAAAGGAGCCCGTGCAAAAATCCAGATATCTTGCAACTGTAGGGAGACAAAAACCTCCTGCTGTGGGTCAGGCCTCAAGACAAAAGATCAAACAAATGCATCCATATCCTAAGAACTGATATTCTAAATAGTTCCCTATCACCCTGAGGAAGCCAGGAGTCACCATTCCAGCACCCTAAGGGGAAAAGTCATTGCTCTCTAAGAATATGCACTTTCTTCATGATTGGCTTCCACATTTGTCCCTAATTTAATCAATTTTACCTGAACTATTAATCTTATTGGCTAACCTTAATTCTGTCCCACCTTATACCCATCTGCCTTGTGAGTTCCCAGTTTTCCCCACCTTAAACCTGTCTCACCCCATGATTTTATTCTATAAAAGTCCCTGGAAAAGACAAGAGTCCTTGGAAACCTACTCGGGATCCCTTCTGTCTCTCTTTCTCAGACAGAAGCTTTCTCTCAATAAATATATTCTGTTTTTAGCCTCCATTGTTTCTAAAATTCATTCTTCAGTTTTAGAGAACCCGAACTCATGGACATAGTAGGTCAGGATTTCATTCCCCTATATCAATAGAGGTGGTATACTCATCAGTAGATTGATCCATTGAAGAGTCCATAGTTGAATGTGTTGTTAAGTGGTAGGGCCTGGTTAAAAGAAGTAGGTCATAGGATTCAAAACCTGGAAGCTTTTGTTGTTGTCCTCCCTCCTCAGCTTTTCTTTCTGCTTCTTGGTTACCAAGGGTTGAAAAGCTTTGTTGCTACCAGGGCCTTTGGCCATATCATTTCTGCCTTGTAACAAGCCAGTCATTATCCAAACCCTCTGAAAACAGGAGCCAAAATCAACCTTCTTCAAGTTGTATGACAGGTATTTGGTCACAGCCTCTAGAAAGTCACACTATACATTTCATATAATTTTTAAATTTGAAACTAAAAAACAACATATTCCTTTTCTTAGGAAGCTTGAAAAATCCTGTGTCAGAAATTTTCAGTTGAGTCTTCTGAGTTCCAGAATCACCCCCAAAATACTTTGGGTAGTCTGATTTCTTCTTAGATTTTCACTGTTAATTTCCATCTAACCTTCAAATGCCTACTTATTTCCCTCTACAGAAGTTTGGAGATATCTTTGATTATTTTAGCAATGTCCAGAAAGCTGTTGTTAACAAAATGGGATATCTAGGTATTTTTCTGAACAAATACTATTTTTTTCTCTAATTTCATTGACATTTCTTTATAAACAGAATTTATGATTCTTCCAGTTGTGTTTTCATAGTATTTTAATAACTTCACTGAGTAGTAATAAGGGGAAAATCCTGAGATGGCCTAAATTCAGTTACAAGTGACTAGGGGATGGAAGGAAACAAAAGATAGGAGGAAGTTAATGAGTAACTAGTCAAAAGAACAAGAATGTTTCACATCTTTCAATGTCAAAAACCTTAACTCAAATCCTATTGTGATGTCATAGATGCCACTGCATAGTGCTTGCTTGCCCAATCAATTCAGAGGTAATGGCTGTTTCTCCTTGTAGCTTGTCCTTCCCAAAGCTTTCCTACTTCAGAGAATTCTGCCCCTCTTACCAGTCAACAATGTAGACCCACTATTAATTACTAGTTCTTGACCAAATTTTTAAAGTATTTCATCTTCTTAGATCTCATAGACATTGCTAAGTAATTGTGGGAATTTGCCCCATAATTTAGTCCTTTCTTTTTCTGGCTAGTTATCTGTTATGGTTCAGTAACCTTTTATTTCAGAGACTACTCAGTCTCAGGAGTTTAGGCTTTACAGTATGAAAACTGTTATTATTGAAATATTGTTCTACTTTCTTGGTTTCTCAAGCAAACTGTAAGCTCCTTGAAGACATATACTGTGATGATTAAATTTATGTGCCACTTTACTTGGCACTGCAATATTATTTTAGGCATTCCTGTGAGGGTGCTTAAATGAGGCTAGCACTTGAATTCACAGAATTAGTAAAGCAGGTTGCCTTCCATGATGTGGATAGGATACATCTAGTCAGTTAAAATTATAAATAAAACAAAAATGCTTACCTTCCTCCAAGTGAGAGAGAATCTTTCCTTTCTGGTTGCCTCCAAACTGGGATGTTAGCTTTTTCAGGCCTTTGAACTCCAACATGATCAGCATGCCAGCAATTCAACTAGAACAATACGATGCACTCTCCTGGTTCTCAAGCCTTTGATCTCAGCCAACAACCATACCATTGGCTCTCCTGCATTCTCACTGACCCATCTCACAGATATTGGGACTACCCAGTGAAAGGGTTTTGGCCCAGACAGGACACTGTATCTGGTAAAGCCTTGGAGGCTGAACCAAGGAGCTCCATCTTCCCCACCCCTAGGAATTTACCTGTGGCTCTGTCTTCCCCACCCCTAAGAATTTACCTCTGATGTGAAACGAATACCAGTGGGCTACCTGTACATCCTTAATGCCCCTCAGGCTCCACCCCAAACCTAAGCTACATGTATGCCCCCTAAACCACATGTCCGACAGAGAGATTCCCAGACCCCGGGGTAAATGCCAGACCCCAGAGGGCGAGAGGGGGGGGGTCTCTCCCCACATTCTTAAAATAAAAGTCATTTATATTCCATACTTCTTATCTTTTCAGCCGCGCCACAATTCCCTGACCGGAACGGCAGACGAGAGACTCCTAGGACCCTCCCAGTCTGAGTCCTCTGCCATTCGCAGACCGGACTGCATACTGGATTAATTCCTCACTTCTCAACATGGGAGCTGCTAAACTTGAAACTGCTGATTTGCAAACAACACCGGTCTAATTCATTTACCACAGGTGAGCAACCCCTAGAGTTTACTGCAGCTGGGCCAGGGCCAACGTGAGTTTTCTCTACCTCCCGTGGATTCACGTGACACTCTCACGTCCTGAGACAGCCCAAGGTAGAGTTTTTCTGGGCCAGGCCCCACACTGAGAAACTCTCACATCCTTTAGAGTTTTTTAAGTTCTCACAGCAGAGCTGTTACTAAAATCCACAGAAAAATCCACTCGTATATATTGGTGACAGCCAATTATTATGAGCTTTGGAACCAAAATACCGCTGCTCAGTCTAAAACAAGTACAAGTGACGACTTAGACCACGGTCTGTTGCCTCACCTGGCTGTAACTCCGTGGGCCAGGCCCCACACCAGATTTTATATTGGGAACCACTTCCTGCCCCCCCCCCCGCAAAACCGTACCTGTTTATAGCTTATCACACTGACAACAAGTTTACAAAACTATCTTTAAGCCTTTATTTTGGGAATGTGTTTCACACACACACACTAAGGACAGCCTTTCAAAGCTTGCTCAGCATCCCCTTTCTTTCCTCCCCATACTAGTTTCCTGCTCAACTATTCCCTGCGGAGATCGGGGAGGTGTGCCCAAACAGTGTTGGGAGGTACTGCTGCTTTAAGCTCTCATGCCGTGTCCTGGCTCCACACGGGGTCTGGCTCTCACACCATACCCCAGCTCCACGTGGGGTCCCGGCTTCATGCCCTACTCTGCATGCCCCTTGAGCAGTCCCAGCTCCACATGGCGGCCCAGCTCCACATCAGTCGCAGCTCCTCGCTGCACCTTGCAAGCAGTCCCAGGTCCGTACTATAAACCCATATCCATGTTCCACTCCCCACCCTGGCATCTTCACAGCAGTTCAGGCTCCTGCTGTACGCCCGCCACCTGGCCCACTCTGCTTACACTGCCCCTACCCTGCGCACATCCCCAGAGTACTTTCCGCTCCACCCCATGAACTGTGTCCCGCGCTGGCCCCACCCACTCTGCGTGTGCTGCTCCCACCCTGGGCGCACCCCGCCCACCCTCAGAGTTTCCTTCTGCCCTAGGCACTGCCTCTCCCAAACAGTCCCATCCCGCAACCACCAGGCACAAGCCCCGCTCTGAACATAAACACAATGACCAGCAGCTCAGTGGCTGGGCTCAGAGATGCTATTTCTTGGTCCACACGAGCCTTTTTTTACATTCTCAAACTGTTTAATCAAGGTTTACTTAGGTTAAATAAACCAGCAATAGACAAGACTTTGGCTGATAAATGGGGAAGTGGCCACCGAATAATTTTACCAGCCTTGCTTATCAATTAAAGTCTTCAGTAATCTCCATAGCCTTATATGAGATACCTCAACTAAAGTTCATATAACTAAGACAATTTATTGTTGCTGATCTGATATATTCATGTTTTCAGATATAAAGTTCAGATTGTTTCTGCTGCCTTTTTCTTGTGTTCCAGCCATGACAAATGCTTTCTTTTAGATCCAGATATATGCTTAGAGATGTTTCACAAATTTCTTGTTTTATGTTAAGCTTACTATCTATATTATACTGTACTGTTACCAATTCCTAAATGTTTAACAACTAAAATTAAGAGGTAATTATAAATTCCTTTTGCTGTAAATCACTAGTAATGTTCTATGTTAAGCTTACTGCTTATATTATACTGTACATGTTATACTGTACTGTTACCAATCTCCTAAATGTTTAACAACTAAAATTAACAGATAATTATAAATTCCTTTTGCTGGGAACCACTAGCTCTTTTCCAAAATAAGGGTTATATGATACATGCAAAACAACAAGACCAACACTACAGCAAAAGACAAACTTAAAACTTTCCCAGCCTGTCTGCCTGCCCTGGCTCAGCCCTCCACTGAGCCATAATTAACTATATTCAACTGATATTAATAATAACACCATAGCTGATTTCTCTCCTAAATAAAAAGGTAAAAATTCATTAAACAGGCCATCCTCCAAAAATCAGATGGCATTAAATATTTTAATAACATAAACAGATACTTATATATGACATAAATAACATAAATAACATGTCAGTTCCTAAAATTCCCTGGACCTTGTCCTCTTTATGGGAAGTCATTACTAAAAGTCATAAATACCCTGTTGATTATATTTGATTCCTGCATGCTTAATTAAATTCTATAGATACCTTCTACTATAGACCAAATCCCAAAACAAAAAGGCAAAACTTGACCCTCAAACTCCATAGAGACCACCTTAATATGGCTTTTAGTGTTTTCAACAACAGAGGTAACAGTGACACTTGGAGTTCTGAGACAGGTAAACCGACACAAGGTGAAGCTGCCTGGGCCCCCCCCCCATGGACCATGCCTCAAATGCAGCAGAAGGACATTGTGCAAGAGAGTGCCCCATCCTGGTGTTCCTTAGGGATCTTACCCCAGGGCTACTGGACTGTCCTAGCCACCAGAGAGTGGATAAGCCATCCTAACTTCTGGCCCTCACAGGAAATGCCAACACTGCCAGATTCATTGCTGACAGATCTGCTTAAACTTGCTGCTGAAGACTGACGGGGCTCAGGACCAACAACAGCCACCTTTAAGGTGTCCATCTTGGAGTCCAAGTTCCACTCAAAGTCTCAGGTAAGACATTCTCTATATTTGTGGACATAGAGACCATATATACAGAATTATTCCTGAGTTTTCAGGCTGCTATATTAAGTCCTCAGTCTCTAGGGGATGTTAATGGTCAACCTATGCCATTTACAAACAGGGCCTATTTTGTGCAGGTTCCAGACTGCTTCTTCCCAATTCACCCAGTGGTGCCAAATCTTCCCTCCACCACTCATTCTACAGTCCTAAATCTTTAAAATGCTTTTTATTCCTTTGTGTTTATACAGACTGACCTAGACACTCTCTCAACAGCTTATACCTGGTATCACTAGTAAACCTCTCCTCAGTGATATATACCACCCCCTTCCTTTCTTATTCACCAATTTCTCAGACAACCCTGGTCAAGATTGACAGATAAATTTTGTCTTCTCACTTTATTTATACTTTTTCAGGATACATGAAAGCCTTTAACACAACCAGGGAGACTGCTGATATACTTACTAAAGTCCTGTTACAACAAATCATTCCAAGGACTACAACCAGGTTAGAGCGATCCATACCTGGTCTTCTTGGCAACCTCAACAGCAGTCAAAGTTGCTAGACTGCCACCTGGTTTCACATCACTCAGGCTAAGTGGTGCCTTTCCAGCCCTAGATCTAATCACCCTTTTGCCTACTCATCTCCATCTCACAAAGGCCTCACAACCACAGCTCTCAGGCTGTCATGTTTTGTTATCCAATTTGGTTTCTAATTTCTTATTCTTTTTACAGCAGGACTCTTAACAGTATTTCCTAAAGACTCCCACATCATACATACCAGAGACAAGCCTTACTTACCTACCCTCCTTAACTTTTACCCTTTCAGATGGGGGAGTTATCACCTCTCATAAGTTCACTCCTCCTAATCCCATATTTATTTTTCAGAATTCTACCTTACCTTGGCAATGATTCTACCTCAATGTGGTCCTGATATGACATATCAAAATCAAAGGCACCTTTCCTTCTATCTCACCTGGGTCCTTAAATATGACAGTGCCATGCCTTCTCATAACATCTTGTCTCTTTGTTTTTCCAGTCTAACATACGTGCATTCACCAGTGATGAAGTTGTCCTGACTAAAACATCTGGTTCCAGCTTCTACATGGGCATCAATCGTGATCCTGTTGACTCCCCTAAACCCCAGTACAGTGCCCCTTTCCAGCAGGAAGCAGTAAAAGGAAATCTCCACCCTTTTTCCTAATAATAATAATCATAAGATGGGAATGAAAGGGTTTTGGCCCGGACAGGACCCTGTAGCTGGTAAAGAATTGGAGGCTGAACCAAGGAGCTCCATCTTCCCCACCCCTAGGAATTTACCTGTGGCTCTATCTTCCCCACCCCTAGAGATTTACCTATGGCTATATCTTCCCCACCCCTAGGGATTTACCTCTGGTGTGAAACGAATGCCAGTGGGTTACCTGTACATCCCTAATGCCCCTCAGGCTCCACCCCAAACCTAAGCTACATGTATGCCCCCCACTCCAGTGTCCGACAGAGATATTCCCAGAATCCAGGGTGATGCCGGACCCTAGAGGGTCAGGGTTTTCTCCCCGCATTCTTAAAATAAAGGTCATTTATATTTCATACTTCTTATCTTTTCAGCTGTGCCACAATTCTATCACCTAGGTTATATGAGTCAATTCTTTGAAATAACTTGTTGACAGGATCTCACTAATTTGCTGTTGCCTAAGCCAGGTTCAAATTTCCTATTCTCCTCAGACTGTCAGACTGCTAAGATTACAGGCATTTGCCACCACACTGGGCTTTAGCTAAGTCTTTTTATGTAGAAATTTATATACATCTTATTGCTGATATTTCTCTAGAGAACCCTGACTAAAACAGAGATCAGATCTTATCCATTGCTAAGGGGAAAGAACTTGGCACAATGCCTAATAAAAAGTGATGTTTCTTTAAATGGTTTAGTAAATAGCTTGATATTTGAATACAGTTTTTATACTCTTTAATATTTTACAGCTAAATTTTATTATTTGTTCATTTACACTAATAACTGGGATTTTGGAAAAGGAAAGTAGTGGAAACGTTGGATTCTGCATAGTGTGTGAAAAAATGAATTACTTGCTTTTTTTAAATGCAACTACAGGGGCCAGGGATATAGCTCAGCAGAACAGTACTGCCTGGCAAGAGCAAGGTCTAGAATTCAATTTCTGGTATCAAAAACAAACAAACAAATAAATAAGCAATTACAAGCCATGCACAATGGCCCACTTTAATTCCAGATTAAAAGATGAGGAAAAATGATCACAAGTTTGAGAACAAGTTGGGCAGTAAAGTGAAACCTTGTTTCAAAAACAAATTAAATAAAATGCA